GTTGGTCCAAGCTCAAATCTTCCCATGGCCTGCCCTGCGGCAAGCCTGGGTGCCATCCTCCTGACTGTTGAGGTGGACTTCCACCTCGTCGCGGCGGGGACCGACTACGACCCTAATGATTCGGCGGGGGACCTTGACCCCTACCTCCCACTTGGCAGTTCCCTTATCCGCCAACCCCCTGTGCGCCCGATCCTCGGTCTCCCGTGGCCAGGCCCCTTTGGCCCTGGCCTCCTCCTCGACCTTGAGGCCTCCCTCGAGCCGCGTCCTCCTCCTCTAGTCCCCACTCAATCTCACTGTAAAGGACCTCATCTGTACCACCTTCTTCTAAAGTACGAATCATGTGATCCTTGGCCCTAACTTGGCTAGAGATGGTACGACCCTTCCACTTCTTCCCCTTATCCAAGTCCTTGTGCCAGAAAGTGGACACTGGCATGAACTTCGACTCGAACAGGACCACCTCTCTACTCAGCACATTATACGTGATGTCGGCCTATTGAGATTTGTGAAAGAAATGCCCACGCAGGGGCTTTGGCATTGCACGATAAAACAATTGGACCAGTTGGGTCTCATTGACCCCATGGTCTGGGACGACTACTAAGTCGTCCATGACAGCTTTGAGTGCCCTTGCACTCCTCCACTGTCGCGAGTGAATGGTCTATAGCTTATCAGAGACTCTAATACCTCTCGTTGGGTTAGCAAATCTCTCCCTCAGGAGTTTGAAGAATTGAGGAAGGGGGGTGGTCTTATAATAGGCAACCAGGTTGTTTTCACAACCGGCTGCGCACGCAAGGGACTTGGCAGAGCTGGTCGCGTTATCTTTGAGGGCCGGGAAGGCAACGAGGACTTGCTCCTCAATCAAGATGTGTTGTAAATACACATAAATATTTACGCTACCCTCCCAGTGATCAAAATTCTCCTCCTTCTTTCCGCCATATGCATCTGGGAACTTAAGCTTGACGGACTCTTTACGGGGTGTGGCCTCACTCTCAACAGCGGCAGCTACTTTGGCACTCTCAATGGCGCCCTCATAGAACTTCCTTACGTTGTCTCTCCATCCCCTGGCTTCGCCTCCAACGTGGTTGACCATGTCGCGCGCAAAGTCCCGGAATCCTGAGCGCATGGCACTCAGGGCCACATCGTGACCCCAGTTGGCTTGGCGCTCCTTCATCCAAGCCTCACTCAACACTTCCAAGTACCCCAACATCTTATCCATTTTGGAAGAAATGTCTGCCTGCACCTGCACCTCTTGTTTGCAGTCTCTCACCTTTGCCACATCCGCAGTCAGCCTATTAACTTCCTCCCTCCTTCTTTCTTTTCCCTCTTCATCCTCAATTTTCACTCCAACTTCTTCTCCTCTTCTGCTTCTTGTCGTTCCAGGGGGTTCTCGATTGTTGCTACCGCCCTGGCTAACGCGTCCTTCTCATCCTGTGGCACATATAAATGTGCCTCCTCGTTTTCCCCCAACGATAAGTTAGCAATCCACTCACTAATCTTCTTCTTCATCGCTGCATCCTCATTCGCCGTGCCACTACTCTCCCCTTTTACTTCCCTGCGTTTTCTTTCCTCTTCTGCTTCTGCTGCTGCTTCTACCTCGGCAGCCTTTTTCTTCTCCTCTATCTCCTCCTTCAACTTCTTCATTTTTGTTGCCTGATCCTCTGCGATCGCCTTCAATTTCACCTGCTTCGAGAGCTCTTTTCTCTCTTTATTCTCTCTCACTACTGCGGCCATCTTCTCTTTTTGCTCCTGGGTATAGGGGCTAGTGCTTTTCCCACTACGGGTATCAACCATGGTGATTAGTGCACAACCGGATTAGCGGCTCCAAACCTCACCACTTGGACTTTAAACCCTGACTGACAACTAACTGACTCAATCTAGGACTCATAGAATCCGGACAGGGATCCGGTCAACTAGGGTTTCTAGCCTAGACCTACTCTAAGGTTGTCATTACTAGACCAACTGCTGATCAGGAGGCATTTAAGGAGATCCCTCGTAACTCATGAGGAATTATTTAACGCCGCAAACAGGACGACGCGATCAGCAGGTCTCTCAACACTTAGCCTGCCTGTTGCGCAGCCCACAACTGAGCCTTTCGGGCCTACCGTGCCACACCAAGCAGCCCGTCGGTCTGTATTGGTCCTTGGGAGGGTTAGGCCTACGGGGCAGTCGAGTCGTCAGACACAGTCTGGAGCCCTACTTAGTCCGGCAGGGGTTTGGTCAACAAGGCCTATTCTTTCTCTACAGAGTACTATCACCTGGACAGAAGAGCCTCGATGCAAAAAGACGAGATAGACAGACTGGACTCAGCAAGTGTCACAGGGTGTGTGCACATCCATAGGGCTAGGGATCGGTTGAAGGCTTGGCGAGCTTATACCGGTTCCAGCTTGGTTAAACTCGTGGTCAACGACTTAGTCAACGCTCGGTCAACGCTGCAGTCAAACCCCGGTCAACCCCCGGTCAACTCCGGTCAACACCCAGTTAACGCCGGTCAACCCTGGTCAACGCCTCCGGTCAACTTCCCGGCTATGGCGGCCGGCTTCACCTTCGTCGCAACCCTTCACCTTCCTTCTCTTCACCTCGCCTCTTCCCTCTTCACCCTGACTATCTTTTTTTTTTTTTTTTTTTGTTCGTCTCTCTTTCTTCCTCTCCTCGGCTCTGGCTTCTCTCTCCCTCCTTCGTCACTCCGTGGTCAAGCACCGTGCTTATGGCCGCCTTCTTCTTCTTCACAGGACTGCACTTCACAGGTACGTAACAGCCAAACTTGTATCGACTCTCTCTCTCTCTCTCTCTCTCTCTCTCTCTCTCTCTCTCTCTCTCTCTCTCTCTCTCTCTCTCTCTCTCTCTCTCTCTCTC